GAGGGAAATGTACATCTTGTAGTTAGTAAGCAGAGGTATGATAAGCAGAGTCATCTTGACATTCAAAATTCCATTCAAAGTACCCACAATTCTGGGAAATATTTCACTCACATGTTAGAACATGGATGGCCGATCCATAGATGATGTTGTCAATGGGGTTAGATGAATTGATTCTCACCATGAAAACAGTTCACTATTGAAATCCATTGTAACTGACCTAACTTTTACCAAGCCTGCTTCAATTAATTCATTGATAAGCTTGACAAGCTTTGAAACTCACTCTGGCCTGCACCTTGCTGTATGTGTGTAAGATTTAGTGGCATCTAATAGTGAGGGTTGTGAATTGCAACCATCTGTCCATTCTACCACTGCCCCCTACCTTTCAGAGAGCTACGGTGGCTGACACAGCACAAAAAAATGTCTCTTCTGAGACAGCAGAGAGTGGCCAGTCAAGAAATGAGGTTTCTTTAGGTATATTTATTAAGAAATTATATTTACTTAATTATTCAGTAAAACCATATGTTATTGTGACTTGGCCACTGACAGACAACATGAAAAATGTAAGCCAAGTTACGAGTTTTTAACATTGTCACTGTTTCTGCACCACAGTCCATTATAAACCACACATTAAATAAAGTTTATACAAACATTGACAAGGGAAACACACTCATTCTCTCTGTGATTATGGACCCTCGCCAAAACTGCCCGCCATCAATATTATCTGGTCCGCTGCCAGATTATGGTGCTTTGTAAAATATATAAATATAAATAAATAAATACTTTCATAGCAGTGCTGTATTCAGAGTTGAACTGAGCTTTTACTATAAAAGATTTTGAACAACATTGATAGAGTCTGTAGCCTGCTTGACACACCTCTGAAATAACTGTCAGAAAACATGATTCACCTAAATGTCTCTGCCTGGAGATCTGAGACACTAGACCGACAAGATAGACCACTTTCAAAGGAACCTGGGCTTCCATAAAACCTCAGCAGTGCCACAGGTTGATTGCCTCCATGCCATGTTGCATTGATGCAGTAATTCGTGTAAAGGGGACTGGACTAAGTACTGAGTGAATTAACCTTTTTCAGAACTGTTCAACTTTTCTGAATGTCGACATTTCTGTATTATATCTTTTTTATTCTAATATTCTAATATTTTGAGATATGGATTTTTAATTTCCGTGAGCTGTAAGCCATAATCATCAAGATTAAATCTTGCCCGAAATATTTCACTTTGTTTACTAAATATGTATAGAACAAAATGAACACGACATTCTAATTGTATGGGATGCACCTGTAAATCTCTGCAATAAATCTGACCAACCAACTGTAGATGTGCTTTTACACTGTTATAAATATACATTAAACATGTTAAGTGTGTGTATCAGACATATTTAGTAAGCTACCTCTAACATTTATTTAGGTTTTTTTTCAGACAAATTCAGTAATCCACACATATGAAAATTATTTGAACAACTGTTAATTCTCTATGAGACAGGCTCCAGAAGATCTCAGATGGGGAATAAATACCATAAAATTGTAACAAAGTAACAACCTTCAAATGTGGGCTATGTGTAGGAGTCAGGAATGAGGTGTGGGGTTCTTGAACACGGCTTTTTGGTTGCTTCTGGTTGTTGAATCACGTGGTGCTGGTAGCAATTTGGGATATCACCTGTTCACCACTTGGGATGGGGGTGTGGATAGCTTAATTTTTGCGGACTGCTGTCTACGCAGACTATTGCATTTTATGGACATTATTGCTGTTGGACGCTTGTATAGTAGGCTACCTGTGAAACTGTTTAGATAAGTCTTTCCTACTCAGCCTCTTGGCAACTACATTTTAGTTTTTAGATAGTTGCCTATATTGTCAGCAAAAAAGGCAACAACGGAACAGAGTCATGTTAATGCAACATTGTTGGACCAAACACGGAGAAATTGGAACATACCAACAGCTTTGAAAACATTTGTCCTACATCAGAGCCTACCATCTGGGAAAATCCACAACAGTTATATTCTTGATTTCTGCCGTCATCTGTCTGCAATGCATCTGTCCCGACTCCGTCTGGCTTCACCATGTTTTTGCTTCTTTGACGAAGAAGATTCATGCTCCATCGGCTTGTGCTAAATAATGTGTCTTCCATTTGTCCAAATTTCACTTCTCATCTTACTTCTAATAAACCAGATAACTACTCTGATAACTAGACTGTAAGAAGAAGAACAACATGATGATTAAACGTGATCTGTAGCGCCGTTTGTCCATTTTCAGCTACTGTGGAAACATGGCGGCGCAACATGGCGACCTCCATGTAAGGGGGAACCGCGGTTATGTAGATAGAAATGGTTCATTCTAAGGTAATAAAAACATAACAGTTTATTATGTCAGGTCTTTATACACCACTGAAAACATAGTTATAGACCTTATATTGCATTTATATCAATAGATCCTCAGAAATATTACACACTGAACCTTTAAGGCCAAACCACGCTTACCACTTGAACAGTTTCAGATGGACGACATCTATGCATGTCTGAGATGGAAGCAGGTTCAATATACATTATATTGCCATAAGCCTGCCTTTACAAGTGTTTAATCTTTTATGCATGTTTTTAATGCATGCTTTTACTATTATTATTACTATTATTGTTATATATATATATATATATATATATATATATATATATTAGGGTGCCACTCAATCTAATGTCCAAATTTATTAAAATATTTTCCAAGTCCCACCCCCATTCTGTTCTTTTTATGGCGCATAGTAACTGTGGAAAGTTTCATTCAGATATATTAATATTTACTGGTAGCTCAATGGGCTCAAATGTTTTCGTATGTACACGTATCGTACTAAAATGTTATTTGATTCAAAATTTCTCTACCAAAGTAAATTAATCCTTGAGTAAGTATTGTTATCATTTAACTGTTCTTGTAAATGTTTTTTTTTATCTGATATGTGTTATTATTTTAAATACCATAGTTTAAATACCATGTAATCAGAATAATATTTTTGGGTTAGCACTATAGCAGCCGTAATCCACTGTATAGTTAACTCTATGCAGGGTTGTGGGTGGGGCTAGAGCCAATCCCGGCTGTCACTGTGTGAACCCTGGACAGGTTGCTAGCTCATCACAGGGCTAACACACATAGACAAACAATTCAGACACGTTCACAAATAAGGGCAATTAAGAATCACCAATTAACCTATGCGTGTCTTTGGACTATGGGAGGAAGCAGGAGAACATGAACAGAACCTACACAGACACGGGGAGACCATGCAAACTCCACAAAGAAAGGCCTGGGACGACCGAAGTTCAACAACCTTCTTGTTGTGAAGCGACAGTGCTAACCACCGCACCACCATGCCAGCCGCATCTGTGTGTCAAGTTATACTTAATTATTCTCATTTTTAGCACCAGCTACCAGTCATTTTCTGGTACAGTAAAGAAGGTCACTTTAAGTGAGGTCACTTTACGAGACAGCCACTTCTTCAGCTGTCGTTTCTATTTCTTGGAGCGCAATGCAATTATAATTGCTATCTAAACAGCTGCTTTGCATATAGTGTTGCGTCATGTCACATTTCACGTGTTTTCTTGACAAAACGTGGTTTGGAGACCAGCCATCGGGTGACACAGCTGTTGTCAGCTCCTGTAGTGTGTGACCCCCTTTCTACTATCAGTCACGTAATGTGAATGCCACAACAACTTCAAAACTCCCACAAGACAGCAAGTTGTGTAGTCTGAACGGTGATCAGCCGGCGCTGAAAGTTATGTAGTCTGTACGACAGAATCAGAAACTCATTCACACACATTCATAAACTGATGGTACAGCCAACAGGACCAATTTGGGGTTCATTATCTTGGCCAAGGACACATCAATATGCACAATGATCTGCTGCTACTCTATGAGCTGGACAGCTACCCTACAAGTAAACACATGAAGCTGTTGCTAAAGCTGCAATACAGTCATTATGGGATACTTATGGATACTTAACTGTTGATTATTAACTTCTGAAGTAACTGTTAGCAGCTATTGGTCTTCTTTTAGAGGATTTTTGCATTATTCTAACTCGTGATATTAAAGGAAGGGAAATGTTGCATACTGTAAAACGTTGTCAGTGTCGAGCTACCAGTAAATAGTATTAGAATACATCCAAATCTTGTCAACTTAGTTTTTGTCACATTATTAACACATTTGGGGGTGCGAAGATGAAAATTAGAAACTTTATTTTTGAGTGGCTCCCTAATATATATATGTCCATCCATCCATCATCCATCCATCGTCAACCACTTATCACGTGTGCAGGGTCGTGGGGGCCTGGAGCCTATCACAGCTGACATTGCGCGAAAGGGGGGGTACACCCTGGACAGGTCGCCAGTCCATCGCAGGTATATATATGTATGTATATACTGTATATATAAATGCATTGTGTTTTTTATACTAAAAATTTACTTCTTATTATACTCATTATACAGTCCCCACCAAATGTATTGGAACAGCAAGGCAAATTCCTTTGTTTTTGTTGTTCATTGAAGACATTTGTGATAAAAGTCCGACAGGTCCGACAGTTTGCAACAGTGCAACAGGGGGGTGTGAAGGGTCAATTGGATAGGACTTCTTTGGACAGTCAGCGCTAGGCAGATAAATCTGACCTACTTGGCCTCTCATCAACTACATGTCAGTTTTTGGATGGTCGCCTAGTATGCTTAAAGCTCATTGGATGACCAAAACTACTTGCACAATATTTTGTGGTATGCCATGCTTGTTTTTAGCAAATAAACTAAACTCATATCAATCACAGTGTATGTCTGTTTCATGATCTGTTTTGTTTTATCTGGAGCTGCTGTAACGAAAGTAATTTTCCCCCGGGTGGGATCAATAAGCTCTAACTTATCTTAACTCAGACTCCTCTGATTATACCCTTAACATTGGTGAACCCTCATGTTTTTCACCCCAGCCTCAAGAGAGTCCTGCATCTGAAAGACTGGGTTCACTGACCTGCCGGGACTCTTTTTTTCCATAGCGTAGCTCATTTGCAAAGTGCTCACAGTTCCCCGTGAAGATGGAATACGGCAGCTCCTTGCCCACACGTGCACAGGCCTCCTTCACAATAAACTGGACTGGGCAGGGCTCGTACTTCTCGTCCAGGCTGTTGTTGATTTTCCACTTGTTGTCGCCCACCACGTCCTGCAGTTTCTCTTTCTTCACCATGGCTTTTTCAGTCAGGACAGACATCATAATGCTGGTGTCTGCACCCGCGACATCAACTGTGAATAAAGAGGAATGAAAGAGAGAGAAACAGACATAATATGTCCGGGATTATGTGCTAAATACAACAATTCTGAGTGGTGTATTAATTATGAATAATTTAAACCAAACAATCTTAGCTGATATTTTGGTCTGAAAGACAGTGAATGTGGGCCATTATTAAAGGCTGTTTTTGTTCAGGATTTGGCAGTAGCAGTCCATGGAGTTGTGTGTGGGGGGACTCACAGAATGTTGTCAATCCCAAGTGAACAACGAAGTCATTGCCAATATACACAGCCCAGTGCTGATAGGGGCCCCGGAAGATCTCAATCAAGTCCCCAGGCTGTGGTTTCATGTCATGCTTGGACTAGAACATAGAGGGTGGGGTGGACTTTGCATCAGGCTTGTGTTTGGCATCAGCTGCAATACATTAGACCTGCTGCTGGACTTTATGACTTAAACTGCAAGATAAGACAAGACTTAAACTTGATCAAAGTCAGTGAAATAAATGACACATAATTGCTATACCAGTGTCAGGGCCATGTCAGGTTTTGTTTCGTCTGTAAACCTGGGACTGCCTTCACTTTCCAGATGACTTTTTGCCCCTGAAGGAACAATTTTAACATTTGCACACAACATGAAATACAGGGAAAAGCAAAATATACAGAAATGTAAAAAATTGTTTGTCCTTCTATGTTTGGAGATAAGGTAACTGTGCTTTTTTGCCTTTAGATGTGCTATTCACATTGTGTGGTCACTAATACAATCTACATTAAATAATTGTTATGTGTAGAATTTGTGAATATTAATATGAGAAGACTGATGCAGACTAATGCCACTTCAACCCTCCGTGACACCCCTTTTACCTTTGGCAAGTATGGCAAAGGAGGAAAACAATTACAAGTGCATCTGAAAGGATTAGAAAAAAAACTGATTTTTGTAACTGCAATTCATATTTGAAACCCGGAGGCAGAGTTTGATTAATGCCCAGAGTAAATTTTTGAGATGCACCTGTAGGTACTGCAAGGATGGACGTAGAAATGTGTGCCTTTTGTAACAACGTGTAACACAACAATATTACCATTTTAAAATATACTTTACTATGACTGCGTATTAAGTATTAATTTTTTTATTCATCTTGCTGTTTGGTTTTCTTGTCAATAAGCATTACAGCCTCACAAATCCCACTATCATGTTTAAATTAAATACATAGTTAGATAACATAGGCCTACCGTAGTCTATTTCTCCCCAATACAAGATCCTTCACCAATAGGATTCGCAAATTCGCCTCCGGGAAATGGACATGTAGTGAGAGCAGGGCAGGTAGTGGAAACACACAGATGAGACACTGAGGCTGGAGGACTGGCAAGAAAAACTCTACGAAGAGGGAGAGTCTGAAGCAGAAACAAAAACCGAAGTCAGGATACAATTATACAAAAATCTCTCACGAGATTCAGGAAGTAGTCCAGGCCGTAGCACAATACCACATGAGAGAAGGAGAGAAGAAAGAACAGTGTGACCATGTGACCAATGTTCTGGCCTAAAGTGAAACTTTACGAGAATAACACAGGAAGGGAAAGGCTAAGATTACAGATGTGTTCATGCCTTTATAAGGCAATAAGGAAATAGCAGGCTGGTAGCCAAATGACGTTGGTAAATTTGAGTCATTCCGGTGGGTGCTGTAATGGCAGACAATTGATTCCTCTTACATTTAATCTTTAACACATGTTCAGTTATTAATATTATTGTTTATGCCATCTCTCTCTCTCTCTCTCAATTCAATTCAATTCAAATTGTGTAACAATATTGCCAAAGCCTCATACAAACTACATAAGAACAATCAACCCCATACATTTCATTAAACAAGTAATTAAAGCGTAAAGTAATTAAAGCGAATATGTGTTTGTGTTAAAAAATAAAATAAATAAAAAATTAAAATAAAACAAATAAATAAAACAGTAAGCGTTTGTGTTAAAAAAAAAAAAAATATATATATTAAACATTAAAATATAATAACGTAAACATGTGTGTGTGTATATATTAATAGACAATAAATTAAGAAAATAATGAATTGATTGAAAAAATAATAATAATAATAATAATTAAAAAAGAAATCAGGATCAAATGTAAAATCAAAACAATTACTAAAATATCAAGCAATCAAAAAATAATAATTTGAAAATTTGTACAATTATTTATCAGTCTGAGTTGGGGTGGGGTGGACTTTGCATCAGGCTTGTGTTTGGCATCAACTGCAATACATTAGACCTGCTGCTGGACTTTATGACTTAAACTGCAAGATAAGACAAGACTTAAACTTGATCAAAGTCAGTGAAATAAATGACACATAATTGCTATACCAGTGTCAGGGCCATGTCAGGTTTTGTTTCGTCTGTAAACCTGGGACTGCTTTCACTTTCCAGATGACTTTCTGCACATGCAGGAACAATTTTAACATTTGCACACAACATGAAATACAGGGAAAAGTAAAAATAAAGTAAAAATAGTTTGTCCTTCTACATTTGAAGATAAGGTAACTGTGCTTATTTGCCTTTAGATGTGCTAGTCACATGGGTATACTACAAACTACGTTAAGTAATTGTGTAGAATTTGTTAATATTAATATGAGAAGATTGTTGCAGACTAATGCCACTTGTAGCATACCTACTTGACGGTTAAATAAAAATTCTGATTATTAATTATTCAGAAATATTAATTCATAAATTCATATCTCTCTCATTTGGGGGCACCACCAGAAATTCAGTTCTTCCAGGGTCTCCGGGCTCCCTGGGTAACGTTATGGGTTTAATAATAACCCAATTATTCCTGTGATCAGTTAGTAGTAATTGCTTAATAATTTCTATAAATCAGTCAGTCTCATATCGAAGGCTTAAATCCTCCATTACAGTGACCTGGAGTCAAACAATACACACACAGTTCCTGTGATTACGGTGAAATTTATTAACTAACTAAAGGTGGATATAAAGTGAGTTTAGATATATCAAAGACATACAACAATAATGATTAAACAAACAGGATGCAATCAATGAAAATGATGGAGTTAAATGTGGATTTAGTGGTCTATTGTGGAAAAGATTTGGGTCTAAAGAGGCAAGAGAAACAATAAACGCAAGTTATGGTAATAACTCATCAACATCAACTCAACCACAGAATGCCCTTGGTTCCTTACTGCTTGTTGTTTCTCCAGCCGGTTAGTGTTCGGCCGGCCTCACGCTGGCTGAGTTTCGTGCGTTCTCGGTTGAGACGGCTCAACCGCCGTCTGCGGGTCGCTTTCTCTGCAAGGGAATTGCTCCGGAAGTCCGCCACTTCGGCTGGTAACTTAGTTGAAGAAACTTGCAGTGATGGCTGTTAACCTTGGCTCGGTTCGTGGGTTTTCATGTCCTTTGGGCTGCTGCTGGTGTAAATAACCCACGTGGCTGGCGTCCCGGGCTTCATTGTCGTGGGGAGGAGTGAGGTTAGTTGATTCGACGGAAATAAAGTTTAAAAACAAACTTGGTTGTTTCTGAATTAAAATTTGCTTGACTTAAAACGGTCTCATAACTTTACAAACAAGCAAAAGAAATGAATAACTTCCACGAAAGGGAGCGAGACTTCGTGTGTGTGGCTTAAGAAGAACAAAAAACTTGGCCGGACTCCTTAGGGTGTTGCTGGGAGACGGGACACGCTCTGTAAGCGTGTAGAGCAGACCATAAACAAGAGCGAAGAGACCAGAGAACAAGGCTGTTAAATATTCTTACTTAGAGAATATAAGCAAGTTACACGAACGTGGCATCAGATTATACCCAATAAAATACAGAGTGATACATTAAAACAGCGGGAAGGGATTAAAGAAACAGGAACCTGTAATACTTAGTTTGTCCTCTTGGGGGAGATTGGTTCCACAAGAGAACAATTGATACTCTCACTAGGGAAGAATGGTTATTCAACATTTCGAGCTGGAAAATTAATTAAGTAGCACAGGATAATATTTCTGTTACACGGTCTTTAACAAGAAATATATAAAAGGTGTTGAAGCATAGCATTAGTATAACATAAATTAAAGGAACATCAGTGAGTATTGAGGAAGATTAGAACACTGCAAATTAACTTTCTTTATGGATTCTTCTTTTCAACACAGTCTTAAGAACATGGTAATAGAACTACTCAAATTAAAGTGGCGAGAACTACTAAGTAACTTAACAAAGATTATTTAATTAAACAAGGTAATAGGCAAGTTATAAGGAGACAAATTCATTTGTCCATACAAAGGAATTCGGGGCAGTGTCCTTCTCTGGCATCCAGAATTTCTCAGCAGTTTCACAACTGGGTGTGAAGAGGGAGAGGGCATGTTAAGAGTCCAAATTTATGGCTCTTTGGTGGGGTAGAGAGTCAAGACTGAGGAAGGGGATCTTTGATATTTGGAATAATTAGCAAAAGGGGGGCACGTGGGCTTTTGCCTGGAGTTCTCGGCCCTTGACGGGTACGCCTCTTGCATTCCGTCGGCATTGCATTGTCAACTGGCATTTGGATGGTGTTTTTTTGGGGGTATGTTGGTTGGGTCGGGGTCTTCCGCATTTGCATCGTGGTGCATCTGGGAGTCATTTTGTTTTTGTTTTT